TCTCATACTTCTTGGAATTAATTTCAGAAATACTTTGGATAATTCTTAAATAAAATTTGGATTTTTTTCAGGCCTCATAATTCTCCTGAAATTATAAAATTTCTCTTCCTAATTCTTTTAAAATTCTCATGTTGTGATATCCCGTTGAATTTCTCCTCAGAATTCAATTGGAATGCTCTCAGAATTCAGTTGGAATTATTCTCACATTTGCATAGTTATTATATTTAAGTAATCTTTTGAGTTTTCTTCTCACCTTGGAATACTAGTAAAAATTAAATTGAAGCTCTTCTCATTTGAATTCTTCTCAAAAATCCCTTGGAAATCTCATGAGAATTTACCATTGAAGGCCTCAAAATTACCTTGCAAGCATTCCACAGATTTTTCTTGAAGTTCTCCTAAAATTTAAAATGGAATTCCATTTTGAACTCTCTTAGGATACTCCTTAGAATTCCCTTTAAGTTCGCCTCAAAATTCCAGAACGATTAATATTTTCTTCAAGCCCATCGACATTGAAAATTTTCTGAGATCCATTATATCTGGGATCTTGGAAAACATTTCAAGATCTGAAATCTGAATCTTCGTTCCGGAATCTTGAAAATTTCTTGGATTATTGTGCTAGGTCTTAGAATTGAAAATTTTCTTCATCCCTATAAAATTTTCTTTTTTTTCCAGAATCTGAGGAATCTTTGATTTTGAAATTTGCAATCTCACTGTCTTAAAGATTGTTCAATCCATCAAATCTTAGAAATTTGTCTTGGATCTCGATTAATTCAATTCGAAAATGTCTAAAACAATTTCAAACTTTATTCAATTTGTTTGCAAAATTCGTGTTTATGATACCTATTTAACCTTCTTAGTACATAAGGGTCTTTTGTTGACCCAGCGTCACTTAAAAAAAAACTGTAACTTTGTAACGAAATATGATAGAGGCCTGAAATTTCCTGACTTTTCCCAACATTCAGAAAAGAAAATTTTGCTGTCAAAAAAACTTTCAGCGACCTATAGGAGTGACACTACAAAAAAGTGACCTCTGGTGCATTAGCGGGTCAAAACAGACGCAGACTGCAGCTGGCTCCCAAAAATCAATTTTTGAATCGATTCTTGATCTATTGGGCTCAAATGAAAGATGAAGATTCCTAAGACGGCAGCTTGCCCGGGATTTATTCAATTTGGCCATTTAGGTTACCTGGCATTGGTTTCGATATGGCACTTAAGGACACTTCCAAAACCTCATGTGGTACCGTCCGACTGCTCAAAATTTATGATTTTTTATTCAAGTAAACTTACATCGTGTCATGGCCGAAAGGCCATATCTAGATACCTGAAAGCTGTTCTGGTAGGGCCCCAAAAAGGTTACTTCCAAAACCTCCTGTACTGGAACCGTCCGATGGCTCAACATTTATGATTTTTCATCGAGAAGTAAATAGACATCATGCTATGGACCAACAGGTGGATCTGGCCACATCTGCATACCTGGAACCAGTTTCGAGGGGGCCCAAAAATGACACTTTCTAAGCCTAGTGTAATGGAAACGTCCGATGGCTCAACATTTATTATTTTTCATCCAGAAGTAAATGGACATCATGCCATGGACCATGCTAAAGTAAGAAATTAATGACACACGCATAAACAGCTGTAACTTTTAAACCACGTTACCGAATGACTTGAAATTTTAAGTGATGATTCTTTACTCCATACTGCATACGTGTAAGTTTTACAGCGGTCTATGAGATTTTTACTCTATGTTACAGTAGAGTGAACAGACATCTCTAAAAAAAATTGTCTCAGGAATTCAGTAATTTTTATCGCATTTCAAAGTTTTATGATCTGTAAATAAGTTGACAAAAGAATAGGTCAAATAAGCCAAATTAGCTAAAGGTACTTTTTTGCAGCTGGACAAAATGTCAGAGATAAATTTTTGTTTTCCTGATTGAAAGACAGGTATAAGTTTGACGTTGAACGTTTTCTGTAAGTTAAAAAATTTGTTTAGAATCTTCTCTGAAAAATTCAAGTCATTTGCTATCGTGGTTAAAAAGTTACTGCTGATTATGTGTGTGGCATTAATTTCGTGATCATCCTTTACTTTATGACATTGAAAATAATAGCTATTTAAAATATGAATTAAAAATATGGAAATAGGGGTAAACAGGCTAAACAGACTTTTTTCTTTGATTTGTGTGGTAATAGTAGTCTTCACTGTAGTGAACAAGCAACTTTCATATTTTTTGTTTAATGTAAATGCATCATACATTTAGAGTTCCACGCCAAATGACGAATTGGAAGAACTCAACCATCTCCGGATTGCATGAAACTTTGCATAATTGTGTGTAATAGGAAATAATCCACATTTTTGCAAAAAATCAAGATGGCCGGAAACTCAAATATCTCAAAAAGTACATTTTCAAAGCTGGTGAAAAAGTGTTAACTTTTGGAACATTTAAAAGCTTTGTATTAGACGTCATTTCGATTAGAAGTGACGTTTTCCTGCTACAATTTATTAAAAAATGTCAAAGATGCCATTTTGAAAAAAAATTTAGATCCAAAATGGCCAAATTTCTACAAAAGTGTGAATTATTGCTATTAACAAAGTTTGATACAAATAGGAGAAAGTCGTGCCAAAAATAATTCAATTTTTTGCTATTTGGCCTGGAACTGTTCTAAGATATATTTTCACAACTGTATACAAAATCTGCTCCTGTTATGATTTAATATACATTCAGTTATTTTTCATACGCAAGTGAAAGAGAATTTAACACTCCCTGGTACGTATGCTTCTCTTTGAATCATTTAAATTTGACATTTTTTAAATTAACATCAACCAGATGATTGCTAATAGCTTATTTGAAAATCATGACACCAATTGTCAAATAATCCAATGTAGCTTTTGATAATCTCTCCACCACAATTAATCGGTGGCACATAAATTTTCATTTCGTTGATTTATTTTAAAATTATCCAACCATGAAGAAAAAAAAAATTGCCAAACTGAAACCTGCTACTATTCTTTTGGAAAGTTGACAACTTCCCCTTCAATTTTTAAACTTCTAGTCAAAGGAACCGGCAAAAGGTAGCTCAATCATCCCTTCTCCAGCCAATCTTTAACCACATTTCAGAAATTTGCCCAGAAAATTAATTCCATTGTCGCTGGGAATTTGCCGTAAATCAGCTTAATCCATTACATATTTGTGTCATTCACCGAAACAGCTCAAGTGCTGCTTTTTCCCTAAAGACGACCGCCAACTGACCGAACGGTCACTCTCGAAAAGCGTGTATACTACCGATGCTGGCTTCATAAAACCCACATCAGGACACGTTGTCGTAAGTATTGTACACAAAATCCCTTTCGAGAGCCTTATTTGTCAGCTTTTTTCCACGTTTCTATCATCCGTGTATGCAGCCGCATCGCTCGCTCGCTCGGGGACCAAATAATAGTCCTTGTATAAATAAATGGCTGTTGGTCTTTTTCGCCTTCGCTCCGGCTGCGGGACTACATGCACTCACCAGTAGCCCTACATCACCGGGTCCAGTGAAACTGCATTGGAACTGCATTCGGAGGCAGTGGGAAAGTGCAACCCGTATATTCTTCTCAACACGGCCGGTGAGAGTAACTCAGTGACTGAGTCGAATTCGACTCAATGGTGCAAAAAGTGGGGATAGTCAAAATGTTCCTCGAATTTCCAAGAAAAAAGCGAGTAAAATTGTTTAGATTTTCCTCAATATCAAGCAGTATCTCCTATAAAAAAAACTGAGGAATACTCTGCTCATTCACTGAGTAACCCCACTTTCTGTCGAGTCGAATTCGACTCAGTTACTGACTTACTCTCATTGGCCGTGTAGAGCGGTTCTCCATTTTATTTCCGAGCTCGTGCCTGGGAAGAAAATATAGTCTGCGGTAAAAGCTCGGAATCGGAACTGGAGAGCCATTTTTCCCTTTTTATATTGGCCTCCGCGAAAAAAAAAACACAATCCAGCAACATGCTAATGGTTGCACACGTAAGAAATTCCAAATTCAAACAAACGATGCAAACATTCCCGGAGGCAAATAAACACCATCTCAGATTCCTTTCGGTTAACCAACGTTTCCTCGATGTTGGCGTGGAACGATGCACAGTCTTCCAATGATAAAGTTTGATTAAAATGTATACTCCCACATGTTCCATCGTTTCAACCTGAAGGTGGTGCTCTGGTTTGGGTTCCTTTGCTAAGCTTAAGATTACCATCGTGCATGAAAAAATCACGGAAACACCAGAAATCGGCACGTTCCTTGGATGGATGCTGCTATCTGGTGCATATGTGATAAAAACATGGATGGTGGATTTTTTACGCTATTGCTGGAATTTATTCTATCCTACGGTTTATGGATTTTTGATTTCTCGCGTTGTGATTTTACATTTCAATAAATTTCATTCAAAGCATGTTTTAAATGTATGCATTTTCGCTATAGAAGTGAAGTTGAGAGGAAATTACTGAACCCAGCCCAAAAGCAATTTCTAGAAAAGTGATTTTTTTTTCGTATTTGGCTAGTGCAAACAATGAAAAATTTCCAAGCAGTCAGTGGAAGGAACCGTGCATATTTTTAATGTAGTAAAGTAAACAGGATTTAGATCTAAGTGTCGTCTTATACTAGGCACAACCCGTACAACACATTCTTTGAACAGATTTGAACAAAAAAGGCAATGCTTCTACTAAAGACTTCTTATTAACTCGACTTTCCATGTGTAACAATTGATTTGATAGAGAATAAACAAACTGCAAAATTATTAAAAAGAAATGAATATTTCTATATATATGCACTAGCTTCATTCCTCTTGATAAAAAAATAGACTTTAATTTCAATACCATACTCATAAAGACTAAGTATTATAGCTTTTATACAAAAATATCGAATCATACGTATTATTGATTTGTTCACGTTGAAGTCTTAAATAATCTTAGCGCTTTTCTCGTGCCTATTATTGATCATCATCGAAACAGGAAAAAAAGAAAAACTCTCCACTTACCACGTCAATAATTTGCATCAACGTCAGTCCGAAACTGAGCTGCAGCGGATCGGATTCGTTGACCACCGGCCGCTCCAGGGTGTTGTAGGGATCCAGCAGGTCATGCAGCAATTTCTTCTCGTTGTATCCGGCCAGACACACTGTCAGAGTAAAAGGAAACAAGAATACGACACATGTTATCTCGTGATGATGATCGCCAAAAATTGGACACACAACAAAAGTGACAAATGCAAAGAACTTTGTGATCCGCAGAACAAACGGACCCTCGTGTGGTGACGCTTTCTTATCTTTAATCGAAATCATCCCAGCCCCTTCGTACACAGCAAAAAAATAATTTTGATATCACATCAAAGTGGATGCACTACAATCATGTCGAAAATTTCATGTAATTTTTATGACCACATAAATAAACAAATGCAGTAAAAGCAGCGTAATGTCAGTTCATGCATTGTATTAATGATAATTTTGTCCTTTTTGGCAAGTAATATTACACCATATTTTCGACATGATTGTAGTGCATCCACTTTGACGTGATATCAAAATTATTTTTTTGCTGTGAGTGATACTTTACTCCCCCCATCCACCTTCTTGGAAGGAGAGCGGAAAGTGTGAAAGAGTCACTCGGGCGGAAATGTCCACACGCCATTGCCGTTTCCGCAGCAGGCCCTTCAAAACGATGGTTATTACCATTATTGTTCACATAATGGACGAACCCCGACACCGGTGACAACTCGGGCTGGTTCTACCCGGTCCTTGTAGAGCAGTTGCTGGTTGATATTGTGGAAGGTCAAATTGGAGGTAGGTGTGTACGCTGGAAGATGGAAGAATTACCCATTGGGAGGGCAATTGGAAATTGATACCAGTATTTCTGGCACGTCTCAAGGATGAGTGGCTATGGGGAGGTGTGTGTGTGTGTGTGTGTATATGTTTGCAGCTAGGTGAGCCTGGGAATTGGAGTATGTAACGCAAAATTTAATAAGCCTCGACGGTCAGCCGTAAAACCAGAGCCATTGAACGGGTCAAGTCTTCCGGTGGCCATAGGCCAGAGGGGCGTTGGCTACGTGCGAAATAATGTTAATTAACTGACAGTGATGTGTAATCGATAGGCCTTTCATTGGTATCTGGTTGCTGATGCTGACCGGAGTAAGGAAATTACGTGGGAACTTCTATCATAGTCAATGCTGTCAGCTTCAATTTAGGGGAGTTTTCACTTCTGGAATGAGTAATCAAAAGTATTGGAATATTACTGTTACAGACTAGATTATTTTAGGCCATGAAAAGATCAAGACAAAAAGCCGTTGGGTAGCCCTTGTTTGCAAAACAAGAGTATGTTGGTTCAATTACTAGGATGTATATATGTGCTCACATTTTTAATCTTAAAACTGTTTCATACAATTGCAATGGACGATTTTCGAAATTGTGGTCTACCAAACCCACCTCAAGTGTTCACTCGGCTGTCGACAAAAGCAGGCCACTCTCGATGTGTGCTACGCGATCGTCTGTTTTCTCGGCAGCAACCATTGTGTGGTCTTCCTCATTGTTCTTCATCAGCAGTTCTTTCGGTCGATGCGTCGTCGACTTTGGAAAACAACCGTTTCGTGATGAGTGTGTAAGTGTTGACCACGGTTTGCGTCCATTGCTGCAATGGAAGCGCTTTACCCCACGATGACGTAACTGCCATACAATGAAACCACTGGAAGCGACTCCAGTTCTGATGGAGGAGGCTTTTTGGATAACGGAAGATAGAGTACAGGGTGCGTGACGAATTTTTGCAGTAAATGGCATATTTGAGAAAAAATACACCAGTTAGTTATTCTAGCAATGAATTTTGTGCGATTTATTTTCTTTCGTAGCATATGGAAGTTGTAAGTAAATTTATTCAAAAAAATTGCCTTCCCTTTCGACGACTGTAGTTAGACGCTTCCGGAAACTGCAGTATGTACGTTTTAAAATGTTTCGATCCATACATGTCATCACTGCCTTGATTTTAGCTTTTAGCGACTTAAGTGTGGTGTGAGGGGTTCTATTGGTATCCCGTTGGACGACACCTTATACAAAATAATCCAACGGATTGATATCGGGACTGCTTGGGGGCCAAATTTCTTCCTCCCAAATTTACGAAATATTTTCCGTAAGCCATTTCTGTGCTTTATTAGCAGTATGAGCAAGTGCTCCGTCTTATCACTTTCCCAAGCCTTTTTTAATATTATACACTGTTCTTTCAGACACATTTACCGACCGAATTATTTCTTTCATGCATACTCCGGCGCGCAACAAAGCGACAACGGCTGACAGATTGCTCTCTTGTTTCGACATCTTTACGTTTACTCAACATTGTTTGTTTAAATCTTACACCTAACAGTATAATATATCTAAATCATGATGCACAAGCATGAGAAATTACTATTTGAAATTTACTGCAAAAAATCGTCACGCACCCTGTATTTATTGTGTTGTACCTTTTGACTATAGTTTTAAGATTTATTGTATAGTGACAGAGCCGAGGTAAAGTTAATTCGTTTGAGCCTTATCAAATAAATTAATAAACAACTACAAACCCACCTCAATTCCCACTTCCCGCAAATCAATGGTCTTAAGGCTCAGAGTCATCCGATGTGTCTGAATGCCCCTCAAAGTATTTCAGAGTTATACTACCAGTTAAAAATAGTCCTTTAGATCATTCTAATGGGCTAAAGGGTGGAACAAGCTAAATGTAGTCATCTCAAATTTTGTGCATTTAAAAATATGGTTAACATTGATTTTCAAAGGTGTGTGCATCATGATATATAGTTACTAAACAAGACAACAAGAATTTTAAAATTCTGCAAGCGCTCTCCTTAAATTCAAATCTTTCAATGTAAAAGTAAATTTGAAACAGCTCTCGGCTCAAGAATTTTTTGCTGCAAACGAAAGAGATTTGTTTTTCATTGGCGTTACTACGGGTCTATAGCCCCCCTAAAATTAATGTAGCTCCCTCTAGTTGCTAAAATAACTTATTTTCCTTAAGCATCAAAATAGTTCGCTAATTGCTTAATTGACAAGTTCGAAAAATACATATAGCTCCCCCCCCCCTCTTCTCCCTAGTTACGACCCCGAGTAGATCGACGGATGACCAAATATCCATAGCAAGGAGAGTGACTGAAGAACGATGGAATGAAGGAAAAATTACTTTTGAAGCCGGATAAAAATCGAGCTGAAGCTTCTAGCTACCGTCCAATAAGTTTGCTTTCTTCAATAAGTAAACTTTTTGAAAAGATAATTTTAAATAGAATGATGCTTCACATCAATACGAACTCAATTTTTGCAGATGAGCAGTTTGGATTTCGACATGGGCATTCAACTACTCATCAACTCTTAAGAGTTACCAATTTAATTCGTTCAAACAAATCTGAAGGCCACTCAACTGGAGTTGCTCTTCTAGACATAGAAAAAGCATTCGACAGTGTTTGGCATGAAGGTTTGATTGCTAAATTGAAAAAAGTTTAATTTTCCACTTTATATTATGAAATTAGTTCAAAATTATTTAACTGACAGAACTCTGCAGGTAAATTATCAAAATTCCAAATCTAATAGATTACCTGTTAGATCAGGAGTTCCTCAGGGTAGCATTCTTGGGCCTATATTGTATAACATTTTCACTTCGGACCTCCCTGATTTGCCTCAGGGTTGCCACAAATCTTTGTTCGCTGATGACACAGGCATTTCCGCTAAAGGAAGAAGTCTTCGTGTTATTTGCAGCAGACTGCAGAAAAGTTTAGATATTTTCTCTTCTTATTTACAAAAATGGAAGATTTCTCCTAACGCTTCCAAAACTCAACTTATAATATTTCCACATAAGCCTAGAGCTTCCTTTTTGAAACCTAGTAGTAGTCACATAGTCACTATGAACGGAGTTTCAATTTCCTGGTCAAACCAAGTGAAATATCTTGGATTAATACTTGACCAACAATTAACTTTTAAAGATCACATTGAGGGCATTCAAGCCAAATGTAACAAATATATAAAATGTTTGTATCCTCTTATAAACAGGAAATCCAAACTTTGCCTGACGAATAAACTTCTAATATTTAAACAAGTTTTTAGACCGGCCATGCTTTACGCTGTGCCAATATGGTCTAGTTGTTGCACTACCAGGAAAAAAAGCACTTCAAAGGATTCAGAACAAAGTTCTGAAGATGATTTTGAAGTTGCCTCCCTGGTACAGTACTACTGAGGTACATAGAATTTCGAATGTTGAGACTTTAGAACAAATGTCCAACCAAATCATTAATAATTTCAGGCAAAAATCGTTGCAATCCTCAATTGCAACGATTAATTCGATTTATACTTAGATAAGATTTAGTTTTAGATTTTAGTTTTAAGGTATCAATTGTTATACTGACATGCAGGTTTAAAAAACCTGTTTAAAATACTGAATTGCCAAGACAGGAACAATGTAAAAACACTTAGCTATATATCATAACAACTAAGGCTGGTAAGTTACTGTAGTAACTGGAGCACCTAGGTTAAAATGAAATGTAATTTATTTTGAATTTGAAACAAATGAAGAGTTAAAAAAAAAATTACTATCGTAGCACCCGAGCAATGTCTGAGATCAAGTTGAAATCTAAATTTGATGAGTTGGTTGGAAATGCTAACATGAAGCTTTAGTGTGATGATTTATTAGCTAGAGAATGATCTTTAGAAGAGGGTAGGTGGATAGTTCCGTTAGAGTACGGCAGTATGAAAATTGAATAGAAGTTGAAAATGAGCGAAGGGCCATTAAAGCGACAGTTTACAAGATAGACGCACATTTTTGCCTAGCCCGTACGTGCTGTGCATTTTGGTTTTTTGAAATTGCGTGGATTCTATAGATCCTGTGAAGATCTATCTAGCCCTGATGTATGTGTTGGTAGAGGGAAAAATGTTAACTTTGCGGGAGACGATGTCTTAACACTCGAAAGCAATTTTGTGAAATATGAAGTAAAACAAATCCTAGCTAGTTCTGCATGATGATTTTGTTTGATTTTATTTATTTGTAAAGTCGCAGGGAAATACCAGCTGGGGATTTGTTTTTTTTTATCATAACTCCTTCCTTGAAAACAGGCAAAAACTCACAAACAGGCTGCTTTTTCATGGTATACAGTGTGATAATTCAATA